CTTCCTATGTGTTTGTGTGGCTCTCAGGTTACTGCCCATCTCCTCCACTGGACTGTGAGCCCCTAACAGCACGCACGACACCTGCTGCTGACCAATGTGTCCTCAGGGCCTAGAACAAGGCCCGGCACAGGACAGATGCACAATACGTGGTTGGTGAATGAATGAATGAATGAATGAAGGTATTACCATTGCCATTTTACAGGTGTGAAAATTAATAAGAGGAAACCATTTAAAATAGAGTTAGGAGGCCAAAAGGGGGCGCTCCCATGCAGTACCACTCTAGGTCAGTCACAGGATAGTCCATTACAGACCCCAACAGAGGTCTTCAACACAAAAGAATTGTCAGTTACGGGGAGAAATGTACATGCATCGCAAACAGATATGAGAACCCCAGCAACTAAGCCAATGAGAAGCCATCCCCAGCCTGAGCTCTCCTTTCCTCCAGTGGACTTTCATTCCAAACAACCCCTCCCGGCCTCTTCCTTCTTCTCTGTAAAGTAACGCTCCTTTCCTCGTTTGTTGGACGTGTCTGTGATCCCACACAGCACGCACATCCTGAGTGGCAGTTCTTTGGCTATTCCCAAATAAACTTGTTCTGCTGGTAAAATACTTAGCTACTTTTTTGTTTTTTGGGTTTTTTTTTTAAAGATTGGCACCTGAGCTAACAACTGCTGCCAATCTTTTCTTTTTTATTCTTCTTCTCCCCAAAGCCCCCCGGTACATAGTTGTATATTTTTAGTTGTGGGTCCTTCTAGTTGTGGCATGTGGGATGCCACCTCAGCGTGGCCTGATGAGCGGTGCCATGTCTGTGCCCAGGATCCGAACCTGTGAAACCCTGAGCCACTGAAGTGGAGCGTGCGAACTTAACCACTTAGCCACCGGACCAGCCCCTACTTAGCTGTTTTATTTTTAAGGTTGACACAGGTGAGGAGACTGAGACCCCATTTGTTCAGGAAATGCTTTCAAAGTCATCTTACTCACCTGAGTCATCAACGTTACCTCAGGGTTCATGTCCTGCCAGGGGGTGGATTGGCTGTCCTGCTCTGGTTACCGAATGTTCTAAAGACGCCCAGCTGGGCGAGGCACCTAAGCCTGTGATGGGAGATCTGAATAGAAAAACCTAGACAATACAGTAAGATGAGGTCATGGCCCAGGCAGGGGTTAAGTCGTCGCTGTGGTTCAATTCAGAGAAGAGACCACAGTTTCCCACCTAGAGGAGAGGCAGGGTGCAGGAGGTCGTGATGTCCTGCCTTGTCCCTCTCTGGGCAGCCAGCCGCATGGTGTAGCCTCCTATCAGTGTAGAACATTCACAAACACACAATTTCAGCTCCCACTCCTAGGTATGTATATGCCCAGGAGATAGGAAAACAGGGGTTCAAACAAAAACATGTACGTGAATGTTCATAGCTGCATTACTCATAATAGTTAAAAGTGGGAACAACCCAAATATTCATCAACTGATGAATGGATGAACAAAATATGGTGTACCCATACAGTGGAATATTATCCAGTCATAAAAAGAAATGAAGTTCTGACACCTGCTACAGTATGGATGAACCTCAAAAACGTTACATTAAGTGAAAGAAGCCAGTCGCAGAAGGTCACATATTGCATGATTTCATTTATGTGCAATATCCAGAATAGGTAAATCCACCGAGACAGAGAGCAGATTAGTGGCTGCCAGGGGCAGAGGGGAAGGGTGAATGGAGAGTGACTGCTCATCATGGGTATGGGTTTCCTTTTGGGGTAATGAAAATATTTTGGAATTGATAGAGATGATACTTGCACAAAATCATGAATGGACTAAATGCCACTGAATTGTACACCTTAAAAATGTTGATTTTTACATTACGTGCATTTTACCTCAATTTTAAAAAGTTGTTTTAGGGGCCGGCCCTGTGGCCGAGTGCTTAAGTTCGCGCACTCCGCTTCGGCAGCCCAGGGTTTCGCTGGTTCGAATCCTGGGTGCGGACATGGCACTGCTCATCAGGCCATGCTGAGGCGGCATCCCACATGCCACAACTAGAAGGACCCACAACTAAAAATACACAACTGTGTACTGGGGGGCTTTGGGGAGAAAAAAGAGAAAAGAAAATCTTCAAAAAAAAAAAGTTGTTTTAAATACCTAAAATTTGACCATGGGATTGTTATGGATCAACAGGTGATGATGACGACGATGATGACACACTATTTAATTCTATACCCATTTTAGAGATGGGGAAACTGAGGCAAAGAAAGCTGAGGTGACTTGCCCAAGCTTACACAGCTAAAAAGATTTTCATCTAGGCTTGCCTGGCTCCAGAGCCCCTGCTTTTTCTGCGACACAAGCCTGTCACTCTCTTGAGAGTTGCTTTATCAACCAGAGTTCCATCAGGAAAAAAGCCAGGCCAGGAATCTCAAGCAAAGCAGGAAAGAATTTAATACAGGGAATTAAGTGTTTGCCAAGAGGAAATCAGGAGTAAAGTCAGGAGATGCTGCCAGCTTTTAGGATCAAAGGTCATAATATAGCTGGATATGAAGATTCAGAATGTTGTTGCTGCCACCTGGAGTCAAGAAACTACAGGAAATCATGGCCCATGCTGCAGCCAGCACTGCCCTGTAGTCCCGAGGCAGGCGACTGGCAGAGACAACGAGTCATCCAGTTGCTGCCAAAATTCACATCTGCTGAAGCCCACACATCTGTCATTGCTGCCAAAGTGGGAAGAATGGCTTCTATGGTCCCTCCACCCTCCAAAGAGCACATGAGCACATTTCTTTAGGACACTGAACTGTATCCATAATATTGCCAGTAAGAGTCAGGAAAAGCTGTTTCCCGAGCTTCCAGCCCAGGAACACGGTGAGAACACAAAAGGGGGCGGTGTGGCTGCCAGGGGCCAACAGTCAAGTTCACCCACAGGTTCCCAGGCCAGGCCTGCTTTGTGGCCACCTCTGAGCTAGGCACACAGGGAGAAACTCCTTCATCCTTTCAACTAATGTGGTGTTTATTGAGGGCCTACTATGTGCCAGGGCCTGTGCTGAGCCCTGGGAACACAGCACTGCATGAGCCAAAGCCCCTGCACCGTCTGTGAGCCACGTCCTAGGGAGACGGAGGTCAGACGTGGTCAGTCTGGCCACTAGAGAAGAGTCTTCTGCAGAGGGAAATTCATCTGCTCAACACACATTCATTGAGCGCCTACTATGTGCAGTTTGTGTGAGGTACTGGGGGTACAGTGGTGAACACAACAATGCGCATGCCCAAACGCCTTTCTATGTTGTCTCCCAGAAAGAATTATCCAATCTGGTCATTGCACATGCATCTTTTCTAAGTCAGTGGCTCCAGCCCTGGCCTCTCTCCTAACCTCTAGACTCATATAGCCACCTGCCTGCTTGGCATCATCATCATCATCATCATCATCATCATCACAACAACATGTATAATACATATTTGTACCAAGCACCGTTTTGAGCACTGTGCATAAATTAACTCATTTCATCCTCACTAATCGTATGAAAGGAGTATGATTATTATCCCATTTTACAGATGGTAAAACTAAGGCATTAGTTTAAAGTAGATTAGATTACAGTAACTTGCCCATAGAGTTATTAGACGGCCAGATGCAACCCAGCCTGGCTCCGGGGCCCTGGCTCTCACCCCCTGAGCTATGCGGCCTCTCATAGCTCCCCTCGGATGTTCTAATGGGCATCCCACACAGAAAGTGCGATCACTTCTCCTCTGAAACCAGCTCCAGTCTTCTGCACTGTGATAAATGACACCACCGTTCACCCGGTTGCTCAGGTCAACAGCCAGGATTATCGTTGAACCTCTCTTTTATCCACACCCCCATGTCTAACCCATCAGCAATTTGCATTGTTTTACCTCCACAATATTTCCCAGCTCTGCTCATGTCGCACCATCTCTGCTGCCATCACACTGGTCAGTGATCACCTTCCTGGTCTACGGTCACTTCCCAAATGCTCTCTCTGATCCTACTCTGACCTTCCTCCACCCCCAACATTATGGTGGTCTCTTAAACACAAATTGATCACATCATGCCCCTGCTTAAAGGCCTCTCTATGTACCTAGAATAAAGTCTGGTTCCTTAGCACAGCCTCCAAGGCCCTACGTGATGGGACCCAGCCTGTATCTCCCCCTCCCTCTTACTCCCTCTGCTCCAGTCACACTGTCTGTCCGCTGTTCCTCACGCACTCCAAGCTCCTTCCGGCCTCAGGGCCTCTGCAGTCGCCTGGAATCCTCTCCCCCACACCCCCCGTGGCTGGCTCCTCTCCTTCAGGTCTCAGCTCGAAAGCCACCCCTCAAAGAGGCTTTCCCTAACCACCCCGGCTCGGGTAGAAATCTTTGCAATTCTCTAGTCCTTTATTCCATTTTCCTATTGCTTTTCTTATCTGAAATTACCTTATCTATTAATTTGTTGACCTGTTTAGGGTGTGTTTCCTTAATATTACTGAGCCCCAACTGTGCACCACCAGATAAACGGCCATTATCTCTAGTACCGAGAATGGAGCCTACACAGGCCCCGCTAAATATTTGTTGAGAGGATGTGAATACAGCCCAGGCTCTGAGAGAACGGACGTTGGTCAGACGTCAGAGGTCGGGTGTAAGAGGAGAATGGGAAGCACACAATGGAGGACTCAGCCTAGCGTGGGGTCAGGACATCTGGGCTAAAACCTGAAGGATTTAGCTGCAGAGAACAGCAAGACTCTAGCTAGTTTAAACAGGTAGGAAGTTACTGCAGAGTGTTACGTGTCAGAAGGAATCAACAGACTTGAAAGAAACAAATTTAAGACGAGCTTTCAGGAGCGACTCCCAAAATCAGACCCCAAAGTGGACCATCAAGGGAGCTGGCCCTGGCTCCAGCCCTTACCACCCCTGCTGGAGCCACCAGGATCAGGGAGCCCCTGCTGCCACCACTGTGGAACCGCCCAGCACCTGCCGCCATCCATCAAAGGGCACCACCCGCAGCTGAACCGCCAGCAGACACGCCCCCGGCCCCGCCTCTCACCCGTCTGAACCTGGTGCCCACACGCTGGAAATGGCCACGGAAAAAACAAACGTCTGCAAACAACGCTTGTCGCTTCCACCTTCCAAAGGTCGCGTAGGCGTCTCCAATTGGCTGAACCCAAGTCACACCCAGAACTCTAGCTCTCTCTGAAAAGGAGCCTGGGAAATGTGTTCTCAGCTTTCTAGCTCCTGCAGCGGGGCAGGCCCAGAGGGGAGGGGCTAATGGACACTGAGTGACAGTCCATCGTTTGCCTTGCTGCGTGCATATTTGTGTGCACGCGTGCACACACGTGTGTGCACGTACACATGCTATGTACCTATTTGCGTGGGTGTGCATTTGTGCTTGTGTCACGTGCACATGTGTATATGCATGTGTTTGTGCTGGGGGACAGCTGGGGGAGTAACAGGCCATGAAGACCAGAGAGGAGACATTATCAAAAGGACCGTCACAGACACTTCCTCTGTGAGGACCTGGAGCAGGTCCTGAGGGCCATTCAGCCAAGGGGGTAAAACAGGCTTTAAGGTGCAGCGGTCTAGTCCCACCCCCGTATTCTGCTCGGTGCCCGGCGGTGCAGCAGCGGGAGGCTGCGGCGGATGAATACCTGGATTCTGATTTCTACCCTCCAACCATCCCTGGGCTTGTGAGGGAGTTGAGTAAATAGTCTCAACACAGTCAGGAGGCCAACAGGAGGGAGGGGGCACCGAGGGGACGTCCTGACTATTGTCAGTAAGGAAACCGAGACTCGGAGAGGATGCCTGACCTGGCTGCGGTCACACTAGTAAGTGGCTGAGCCCAGAGTCTGAACCCAATATTTTTGAATCCAAACCTGTGCTTTTAGAATATAGGAGGCAGCCAAGCAGAGAGTGTGGACTTAGATGTCCCCCGACCTGTGTCCAAGTCCTGGGCGCAGCCCCTTGCTGGCTGTGTGCCTCGGGTGAGCTGTAAATCTCTCCTTGCCTTGGTTTTCTCCTGAGTAAAATGAAGCCATGCATGGTTCTTCCTCGTGGAGCAGATGGGAGGGTTGGGTGAGATAATGCATGGAAGAGGTTGAGCCAGTGCTGGCACGGAAGAAATCCTCAATGAGTGTCAGCTCTGTTTACAGGAAGTCCTAACCCAAGCAGCCCCAGAGTGCTCAGGCTCTCAGCGTAGAGGCAGGCAGCTTGTCTGGGATCCCAGGGAGCAGAAGTCTCTTTTCTTGGCTGACCTTGCATAGTAAAGAATTTAACCTTGTCAAACAGAGCTCTGACCTTCGCCCTCAGCTCCTGGCAGGTAATCTCTGTTTGCCTAGGGGTCTTGGACTAGCCAGATAGTAACAACATGATTTAGGGGGAGGGCTGGCCACACCGGAAACACCAACCACGCGATTTAGGGTGGGGGCTTTGGGTTACACATATCAGCTGACCTGGAGACTGAGATCAACCACGTGGGCAATCAATCAATCAATCTGGCCTCTGTAATGGGGGCCCCATCAAAACTCAACACAGGCTCAGGCTGGCTGCTGGGAAATTGACACATCCTCCCTTCCCGGGCGAGGACAGCGGAAGCTCAGCGTCTGATGCTTCCCCAGACCCCACTGTGTGCGGTCTTCCCTTGGCTGGTTGAACCTTTGCCCTTCCCCCGGAATAAACTGTCACTGTGAGTCCAGTCGCATTCAGTGAGTTCAGCGAGCTCCTTTGGTGCACAATCAAGCTTAAGGGTGGTTTTGGAAACCCCTGAACTTCCAGCTGGTGTCAGAAGTGAGGGTGGTCCGTGGACTGCGTTCCCTCTGAACTGTACGGTTGGCTAAACGCTTGCAGCCTGGCACAGTGAACAAATGAGCGAGCAAGCGCTTTGTCCAGAAGGGCTCTTTACGCGCACTGTGTCACTAAACGCCTCAACAACCCTGTGGGGCGGGGACTCATGCCCCGTTTCACAGGCAAGGAAGCCGGGGCTCAGGGAGGTGAGGCAAGTGGAGGGGCCGGCATGGGAACCAGGCCTGCCAGACTCCAAATGTGGGATCTGACCACCACAGGGTTCTGCCGCTCCCAAGGGCCCTTCTACCCTCCCAAGTTAGGCCGTCACCAGCCTGGGACCTCCTGGGAAACAGAACAGAGAAAGGCTGAGGCAGACCAAGCCTGCAGCCCGGGGGCTTTTCAGAGGAGGCGGCAGGTAGCAGGCCTGCCCCGTGCCCAGTGCGCTGACCACAGCCTATCCGGCCCTGCTCTGGGGCTGCAAACTCCGATGTCTTTGTGGGCCAGGTGGGTCACTTAAATGATGAAAGAGCAGGTGGATGCTGAGGAGGAGCACGGGAACTGAGGTGGATAAAGATGTGCTCCACAGCAAGGCACCATAATCTTGGTGGAGATTCTTGTCGTCTTAAATACAGCGAGGGCCAAACCAGACATGCCTTTAGGTCTCCAGTCTGCGACCTCTGAACCCTACAGCCTGGGCCTTCCCACCTTGGCCGCTTCGCCCCTCACCATGACGCTCCAGCTTCTCAGCTCCTGAACAGTCCTGTCCTCTCATCGCAGAGCCTCCGCCATGTGGTTCTCTGCCTCAATCACTCTCCACTTGCTCTCTGCCCTGCCTGGCTGTTACCTATTCTGCAGGTCTCGGCTTCAAAGCCATTCTTTGGGATTTTCCTCTGATCCTGCACATTCAGTAACAGAACTCAGGCCTCTTGACTACAGCCCAGGGCTTCTCTTCTTCCTACTCTGCTATAAACTCTCCATCCCCTAGGCTTTCCTATGGCCACTCCAAAATCAACTAACATTCATTCAGATGGTCAGTCAGTCAATCAACTAACCTGACTCTTATTGAGTGCCTTCTCTTTTGCAGGCTCTGTTCTAGGCACAGGGAAACTATCAACAATGAGGGTAGGATCTTGCTCTCATTGACCTTAGGGAGAGTCAGACAATACACTGATAATCACACACAGTAATAAAGGCTGTGCAGAGCAATACAGAGTACACTAAGTACTAAGTACAGTAAGAGACACGGGGAGGCTAAGTTAGACTAGAGGTCGGGGAAGACTGGGGGCTCAGGGTCTCCATCTTCCTGTTCTCTTACACATTCTTTCTCTGTGCTCTAACAGGCTTGCTATGGGGATTAAGGCTCCATGATCCAGGCTGGGTACACAGGAACCATTTGATAAACGTGGCTCCTCCTATCGCTTTTCTCCCCACCTCCTGCTACCCGTCATTCACATCCGCCTCCAGAGGGGCAAAGGGCAGGTGTCCCTGGAGGTGGAGGGAAGGCTAAGGTGACCTCCTCTGTCGGCCTTGCCTCTGCCTCGGTCCCTGAGGGCTGAGAGCTGGAGAAAGGAAGGAGCCACCCTTTCTTTGGCTCCCACCCTGGCCCCAGCGTGGTGCCAGGAGCTTTACAGACGTGCTTACCCTGACCTCGGTGACACGGCACAGCACGGGTGCTACTACAATCCCCACTCTGCAGATGGGGAAACTGAGGCCCAGAGAGGCCACAGCACTAGGGGGCAAACCCGAGACAAGAACCTAGAGGTCTTGGCTGTGGAGTCCATGTTCTTCCTGCAACGCAGCAAACTGCCAGGATAAACAGCAGCCAGGGGGAGCAAAGACAAAATAAGACAAAAAAGCAAAAGCCACTGAAAGCAACGTAGACACCCATCCATTGAGGATTCGTTAAACGAATCAGAGAACGTTCCCTCAACAGAATCCTCTGCTGCTGCTCGAGAAAATGAAGTAGATAAATGCTTTTCACACTCCTATCCTGTTGTGGGTTTTTGTGGGGGTTTTTGCCATAAACATGCCTTATATCTAAAATTATTTTAAAGTGGGTATGAAGCTCAAGCCACAGGTGTGCAAGAAACAGAGCATCTGTTCATTTGTTTCATATCTACTTTCTGTCCAAAGCCTTCTCCCACCAGGCTGGTGGGAAATTCAGCCTCAGCCGTTCTTCATTGTTCCCCAACCCTGTGCAAAAGTCCTGGGGTCACACGTAGCAGCAAGGAAGTGGGCAGAGCGGAAAGGACCTGGTGTCAGGGGGCGTGGGCACCGCAGGCAGGGTTGGACTGTGCTTGCTCCCCTCTGAGGTCTCACCGGCTCCCCCGGGCTCTGCCTGGCGCCCCCAGCTCAGCAGAAACGGGTGCCCCCACCCCTGCTCACAGACCCACAGCCCTCTGCCTCCTCCTCCAGTCACGGAGGACTTCTTTGGGTCCTGGGAGGAACTGCCCCCCCCCCATCTCTAATCACGTTCCCTCAGGGGCTCTCGCCCTCTCCTCTCCCAGGAGGCACCTCGGCTGCCCCCATCACTGCCCCTCCTCCACTGCCCAGAAGCTCGATGTCTTTGGGGTTTTGGAAGCCAATGGTGAGAGGGGGAGTCTGTTTTGCAGGAAACCTCTCTCGCGCTTCCCACTCTTCCTCTAACCCTCCCCCAAGGCAAGGAGGCCCAGAACCTTCTTCTCCTGTGGGTTTGGCAGAGAAAAATTAATACGTCAAAAAACTATCTTGTCACAACTTATCCTGCTGCTAAACATACATGTATACTATACAAACACAGTATACATTTATTGACAAATATGCACATATATGGGGTATGTGCGCTACACTATGGCTACCCAATAGTCCTGATAATGGAGAGGTTTCTGCTGTTTGTTAATTTTACTATCACTAAAATTAATGACCATCGCACATTACATCAGTTGGAAATACATTCAGCTGCAAGAAACTTAATACTCAACAAATAGGGCTTAAAAATATTGGTGTTTGTTTTCCTCACATAACAGAAGTCTGGAGTCAGGCACAGTAAGGTTGATGCAGCAGCTCGAAAGTCATCAAGGACCCAGACTCCTCCCATTTTTCTGTACCACAGTCCTCACCATGTTGGTTTCTCATCCTCAGGCTTGTTGCCTCATTGTCCCAAGATAGCTGCTACAGCTCCAGGCATCATACTTGTGTTAAAATAGGAAAAGGGGGACTGAGCAATGCCTTGTAAAAGAAAAGTAGAAACTTTGCTAGCATTGCTCCTTAACATTCCCACTTGGATCTAATTAGCCGGAATGTTGTCAGTTGTCCACTTCTAACTCTCAGGGAAGCTGCGAAGGGACCAGTTGGCTTTTCCAGCCTTTCTGACGGAGGCAGGAAAGGAAGAAGAGGATTGGGATTGTCTGCTGGTTAACCAGACTCTCCCTCATGAAAGCAC